CAGGCACCCCAAGGAATAATTTTGACTTATATGATTTTTTGCTTTCCATGGTGCCTCTTGAATCTAACCCTCAAGTAAGATGGGGCTCCAGTCTACTCAAATTGTCTCATTTTCTTTCAGAATATATATCCCTGTGAGCTTTTCTTTTTCTTATAATTTCTTTTCCCTCCTCCTCCTCCTTCTTCCTTCTTCCTGCAACTCCCTTTCTTCTTCCTTCTTCTTCCTCCCTCTACTCCTCCTCCTCCTTCTTCTCTCTCTTGTTTTCTGTTTTATCCACTTCCTCCTTATTCCTTTCTTTCCTTAGAGCTTCCACCTTTATTGAGGGAGAGGGTGAGATAGAACAGGTCACTCTGACATACTGGCCCTTTTTTCTCCTCTCAGTATGAAACCTATCAATACCACACACACACACACACACACACACACACACACACACACACCCTAACACTCCTTCCAACCTGACTCATTTAGCAAGTATATAAACTTTACATGCTGTCGGGAAGACCATCTAGATACCTTTTACTGGATGAGAGGACATGAAATGCTGTGCTTTTAGATGACTATGCATTAAAACATGTGGCAGAGATAGCTAATTGTCCCTTTAAATCCATTTTCACCTTCATTCTTTTGGGGAAAAAAAAATCCTTTCCCCAAGTTTTAGCTGGGCATGTGGCTGTCTAGCTAAATGCTTTATTTCCCAGGCTCCCTTGCTGCTAGGTGTGGTCAAGTATCTAAATCCTTACCAGTGGAGTGTGTTTGGCAGTGCTGGGTGCAATTCTGGGTCACATCGTTCAAAAGAAAGCTGCTTGCCCTCTACTTCCTTTCCCCCCTGCACACTGACTGAAACTCACATGTATTGGCAGTGAGCTGGCTGTAACGGCTCTGATGAGAACACCCTACAACAGTACTGTCCAGAAAATAAGCTCCCAGCAGGTGAAATTCACTGTATTTGTTAACAAGTATCCAGTAGGAACAAATGTAGAACAAGTAAAATTAATTTTAACAATATATTTTACTTAAGCTAATATATACAATTACCACTTCAATATGGAATCAATGTCAAAAAAATTATTGAGGGGCACCTGGGTGGCTCAGTCGGTTGAGCGACTGGCTCTTGATTTCGGCTCAGGTCCCGGTCTCAGGGTTCATGGGATTGAGCCCCGTGTCAGGCTCTGCACTGACAGCGTGGAACCTGCTTGGGATTCTCTCTCTCCCTCTCTTTCGGCCCCTCCCCGCCCCCCTCAAAATAAATAAATAAATAAATAAATAAATAAATAAATAAACAAACAAACAAACACTTAAAAAGTTATTGAGAAGTCTATTTTTCTTCCATCCTTATCTCTCAATCACCGGTGTGTGTCTTACACTCACGGCACATCTCAATTTGGACCAGCCACATTTCAGGTGCTGTAACTCCAGGCTGTCTATGGGACAGCAGAGCACTGGCGGATTACAGGGCAACACAGCAGAAGGAATCTGGGTTCCTGGTTGACCCGGTGGAGCAAAGCTGGCCATCATCTAGGACTTCCCATTTACCTCTTATTTTCAAAAAACTGTATTTTGGGGTCTCTGTGAGACATGAGCTTCACCTATATCTTCAGTAATATAACATGGTAAGAGGTTTTCCTCCCCCACAGAAGTTAACATTGACCTGCATCTGACATTCTGTATGACAAGCAAATGGAGGCAATAGTGAAAAGTTCTTGACATGCCAGCCCATGTATGTGAACTTATCAGCAATTACATCCTGCTGTTCCAGCTGAGTCAGTAGTGTGTATGGAGGAGCACCCAAATTTTAAACCCTGAAAAATCCCTATTTGACATGCTTTCATTTTTTGGTATGTTTTGATTTTTTTTTTTTTTTTTTTTTTTTTTGCATTTCATGAAACTCAAAGCAGTAAGCAATCTCTTTTAATTTTCATTATCAATTTGAACTACATACTTATTAAAAGGGGGCCAAGTTTAAAAAATAAAGTTATATAATAAAAAAGAGGAGAATGATACAAGAAAAGAGAAGTGGGAGGGACGACTTATAGTTAATTACACTATCAGCAGCAGCACTGAATTTTTAAAAACGCCACTAGATTAGACATAGTTTATTTAAAAGACCTTATCCAGTTTAAAATTCTCCAATTCTACACAGGTACTTTATGAACATCTAATTTTGTAGGCCTGGTCGTATAAGTTTGTGTGTAAGAATAAAACAACAATCAAATTAGGGTTTTTTGTTTTTTTTCCTATCCAATTTGTTTCTGTTTTCCCACAAACAAAAGGAACTGGCTAAAGATTGACAAGGTTGTTCATGTTTCTAAATTAGTTCTCTAGTTTATGAGGAAATGCAATCCCAAAGTCTATAAAAAGGAAAAAAAGCAAATGTAAATAAGGAGACATTGCTTTAGACTTTGTGTCCCAAGATATGTCAGTTATTGTCTTGATTTGTTGTCGCTGTTTTCCTTCAGTGAAGACTCACCATCCAGAATGCCGAGGGCAGCCATAGTTAACTCATTTTATTCCCTGTTCATTTTCGTGTGTCAATACAGGAGACCGGTTAAGGGAACAGATTTAGGAGTCAGACATCCCTTAGTTTGTATCCTGACTCCAATGATTACCAGCTGTGTGGTTCATGGGCAAGTTATGAAACCTCTCTGAGATTTGGTCTTCTCATCTGTAAAATAAGAATCATAATAAGCTGCCTCAAAGTACTGGAAAGAATAAGTGAGATGAGTAGGAAGTATTTAACACCATGTCTCATCCAGTGTTTCTGCCAAGTATTTTTCTATTTCCAAAATAATCATCTTATAATGTGTATTTTTTTTAAGCACCTACTCTATGACAGCTTTTTTTCTTTAACATAGATTATTCCTGACTCCCACAGCAACACTGTAAGGGGTGGGGGAGCACTCTCATTTCACAGCTGGAGAAGTTCTAGCTCAGAGAGGTGAAGTGCCCTGCCTACGGTCACACAGCGAATATATGACTGAACAGAAGTCAAACATCAAAGCCTGTGCCCTTTCTGCCAGACTGAGGTGGGGCTCTCCGGGACACACAGTCCTGTGGCATTGTGCAGCCCAGAGTGGGACAAAGAACGAGAAGGCCAAGCAGCTTTGGAGGTCTCCAAACCTCACAGTTTAGAATAAATCCCCCAATTATGCTTGAAGTTGGACAAGCTTTTGAAATCTCGACTGGACATTCTTTTCCCATCAAGTTCCTTGAAATTTCCCTTTAAAGAGCATCTAGGAAAAGCCACTCTCATTAGCCAGGGTCTGGCTTTATTTCCCTAATAAACAGATCTTTAGTCAGACAAAAGGGCCTCTTTTATTTTCAATCAATTCTTCAACATTTCAGCTGATTTTCTTCTATTTGGCTTGAAATTGTGATCTGGGAATGGCTAGTCCTGCAAATTGTCGTCCTATCAGGGAAGCCCCTTGAGGATCCTCAACTTGTTATTTTTAATCACTGTAATCTCCTTGTCAAAGGAGACCATGGTCAGAAACAGAGCAGGCCTTTCAGAGCTTTTCTAAAGCACAGTTATTGCCAAGGGAGGGGGGACAGGGGGAAGAGGGAGGGAGGGGAGAGAGAAGCGGTGGGAGAGAGAAGGAAGTCCATATAGCACTAGCAACTTGGAAAAAGCTGAATAATAATCTCAATGGGATCCTGGCTGTTGAGAAGAAAGCCCGTGTGTGTGTGTGTGTGTGTGTGTGTGTGTGTGTGTGTGTGTGTGTGTGTGTATTAACAGTGACCATCATAATCCAGTGTAGAACATCTAAAGGAGATACTGGGGTGGGGGACATAGAGAGCAGAAGCTATTCAGGGATGAACTGGAATTGTGGGGATAAAGATTCCAGGCAGGAAAACAAGCCATTGATTCCAAGGCTTGTGAGGGGGCCTCAAGAAAAAAATAAAAGAAGCAAGCAGAACACCAGGGGAATGTTAACTTCCACGGCCCTAAGTCAATACCCTGAACAGAATGCATTAGATTTACCTTTAACATGATTATTCTAAGAGAGTATAAGCCAACAGAAAATGTCACAAACTAGGCCAGCGCCCTCTTCCTAACTTTGAGTGGCGGAACCAGGTTTGCTAATCTCAGGGTATTTACTCAGAAGGCTGGGAGCACGGTTTCCATAATATCTTCCTTCCATGATCTCTTAGCCACCAGAAGGGAGAAATGGGGATTGCCGGCCAACAGCCTGGGTGGGGGTGTCACAGTCTGAAAGTCTAATGTGTAGGCTGGAACCACCTGTAGGGTAAAAGTCTAGAGCTCTCTCTCTCTCCCCTAGTCTCGGTTCTCACCTACTGGCCATGGACACTCTGGAAGCAGGAGCCTCTGTGTTCTGGTGAATACCAGGGGCCCCTCCTCCCCAGTGCTAGGGTACCTGCAGCCAGTGCTCAGGCCATCAGGGAGGATTTGTATGGGAAGAAACGGCTGGTAGGACACTTGGTGTGGCCCCAGACTTGCCTAAATCATCTAAAAATATCTTCTTGGGCTCACAGTAAGAACAATCTTAGGTGAGGCTCCCAGTATGGAGAAATCATTCATTCACTCATTCCATTAATTCACGAGGACTCAGCCACCATTCACTAGTAGACTGAATTAGAGTGCTGAGAACACCACTTTTAAACACACACACACACACACACACACACACACACACACACACACACCAAAAACAAATGACTAGGCAGGCACATCCCTCCGTTATTAAACCAATAAGGGCCTCATATCCAACTCAAACTAACACGTATTGGGGACCTCAGGCACACTCCTCTTTGTCAACTCACGTATTCGCTACAACCACCACAGAGGTTGGACAAACAGCTACTTACACCGCTGGGAAATAAGCTCAGAGAAATGAAAGGACTTGCACAAGGTCACACAAGCTACTAAAACCAAGCCCATCTTACTCTAAAGCCGCCTCCTTCCCTGCCACGTGGAGCATGGGCTGTTTCCCCAGGGAACCCGGATCCTCGGTTTTGGTGAGGCCTCCCTCAAGAGACCAAGAGGGTTCCGCCCGCCTTCCTCCGGTCCACGGAGAGGACTGGCTGTTCCCAGCCCCTCAGAAAAGCTGTGGCCACACCCGCAGCCCCTCCACTCGGCCCGCTCCCTCCCGGGCTGGGCCGGGGGTTCCTTCCCCGCGCTGTACCGAGGGTCCCGCGGGCCGGTGCGCGGGGGTCAGAGGGGCTCCTCGCCACGCGCTGAGCGCCGCCACGTGCGGGGGGCGCCGGGAAGCCAGGTGGACAAAGTCGGGGACACGATCCCGGGAAACCCGCGAGAAGGGTTCTGAGATGGGTAGCCCCTGCTTACGGTGGCCTGCGTGGCCCTGGCGCCCGCTGACAGTGGCCCAAACTTTCTCCAGTGTTCTCCAACCGCTTCCTCCCGCAGCCTCTGGGAACCCGGAAGGCGGGGATGCAAGGGCGGCGGCTGCGGGCCCACCAGCTGCCCCCCCAAGACCCTCTCTTCCCTGCTAGGCACCAGAGCTGACTTACGGAGGCGCGGGGGAACACGCACCCCGCCACTCCCCGCCCGTGGGACCCCAGGTGAGACCCGGCGGGCTTCCTTCCCTGCCCTAGGTCCTGTCTCCCAACTGGAGAACGGCAGCTTCTGCGCCGGGAAAAGATGTCTGGGGAGACGATCCGCCGCGGAGAGAGGCGGTGGGCCGTGGGGATGGAGTCAGGGGTCTTCAGGTCTGCGCGGGTCGAGCGGCGCTCCTGCCCAGGAGGCGCTCACCTGCCGGGACATTCCCTCCCCGCACTCCCTAAAGCCAGCGCTCCGCGGAGGAGCGTATGCGCGACATCCCCGCGGCGTGGAGCCTCGGGGTGGCTGGAGCAAGGGTCCCCGGCCTCCAGGGAGCAGGCCTCGGGAATGTGAGCTTCCCTTTCCGACTTCACCGGGTTTCGCTTCCCTCTCCGAACCCACCCACAGCTCCTCGGAGGCCCGTTCCATTGGGAGCCTGTCCTAAAAATCCACACTCTTCTCCCCCGCCTGGGACCATCGGAGAATAATTTGGAGTTCTTTCCGGGGACCCTTACAAAGCTTCAGACTCTTCCTCCCCTCCTCCCCGTGCCCCACGACCAGTCAAGGGAGAAGTCCCTTTTCCTGAAGGCATTTGTCCAAGGAAGCGGCAGTGACCACCCCGCCTGGGGCCCGTCTGGGAGAAACTGGTATCCTCCCCTTCAGGGATGGGAGAGGGGAAAGCCAGTTCCCCACCTTGCCTGGGATCCGACTGGGAGACACCAGGCTTCCCTCCGCTCCAGCGGCGGCTCTGGAGGAAGGCGGGTTTTCACTGCTCTCCCGGAGCGGGCCGGGGGAGAAGCCAGGTTCCCTCCCAGCCAGGCTGGCGTGGCGCGTCGCTCAGCTGCAGCCCACGCCCGAGAACCGCGCGTCGGAGATGGGGCTGCCCAGCCTGGCTACGACCCCCGCGACGGCCCTGGACGCTGGCCCGGGAGCGGCGCGGAGCTCGCGGCGAGAGGGGCTGAGGGCAGCCAGGACACAGGGCCCTCGCCGGGCTGTGCCGGCACCGTGCGCCCCGGGACCGTGCGCCCTCCTCCGGCACCGCGCGGTCGGCGCCCTTCCGGGGGCCGGGTCCCGCGCCCCTAGTTCCACGCCGGGCCACTTACCACGGTAGCTGATTCCCGGCTTGTAGAAGTCGGGGTCGCCCTCCACGCGGAGGCTGAACTCGGTGTAGCCCTCGCGCCGCGTTCCCTGGGCGCGCAAGATGCGGCTGCAGTAGCCCTCCGACTTGGGCACTTTGTCCAGGGTCTCGTCGGAGAAGGCCAGCGCCGCGGCCAGGGGCAGTGCCAGGGCCAGCAGCGCTGGACTCCGGCTCAGCCTCAGGGGCGCCGGGGACAGCCTCATCCTCGCGGGCGTCCAACTTTGTGCCGCTGCCGCCGGCCCTCGCCACGCGACTCCTGCCCGAAGGGGTCCCCGTGGAAGCGAGACCAGGCGGAGCCCGGGCGGGGAGCGGGAGCTCGGAGCCGGCGCTGGCGACCGGGAGACCGTGCGGGTCTCGGCTTGGCGGCTGCCGAGCTGCGCCGCGCTGAGCTGAGCTGAGCTGAGCGAGCAGAGCCGCGCGAGGAAGGGAGGGCGGCGGCAGAGGGGGAGGAGGGCGGGCTGATTTTGCCCAGATCCCCGAGCGCAGCGCTGTTTTGTTTCCGAGCTGGCGATTAGCGGCGCGACGGTGTTGATTTTGCGACGCTAGATTCCCAGGGTCTGGCGAGGATATCATAAGGCACAGGGACACTGCGGGATCTGTCCCGCCACCAGGAAGGCTGCTGCCCCAACCCCAGCTACACCTTTGCACCCTGCGGAGTAGAGGGCTCCCAGGAGAGAAAGACGGCAAACTAACTTTTGTTGCGCACCTACTTTGTGCCTACCAATATGCTGGGTGGCTGGCTCAGGGTATCTGCTCATCTGCTACGCTCTCCCTGCACACGACAAACGTGACAGTAATTTCACTCATTTTACAGATGAGCAAACTGAGGCCTGCAGCCGACCAATTAAGGCGGGGTTGGATGCCACGACTGACTCTACTGCTCTTTTGGAACAGGTCGGACTGGAGGATGAGAAAGGAGCAGCATGACTCATCCAACTGCGCCCAGTAGGCACAGCGCCTACGGCCTGTAATATTTTTGGAGACTCCTGAAAATATTTTCTTTAAAATCAGAAGGAAAAAAACATTTAGGGCTAATAAAATGTTATATATAATATCAATGTATTTCTATTTACACCTACACAGTCATAAAATATAACGTTTACTGTTGTTTTATGAAGGAAGGAGACCCCAAGGACAGAAATGCCTAAGGCCCAGGAAAGTCCTCATCTAGGCCTAGAAAGGAGTTTCAAATGGTTCAAAGAAAAGCCTGTGCTTTCTTGGCTTAGATTTTTGTCCCCGGTGACTGATTTTTAGAGAGGAACTGAGCCTGAGGCACCAGGAAAAGGCCCAGGTGCAGGAATCTCTCCCAGTGTTTCCCTGGAGACAAACTGGAATCAAACCTTAGTTGTGTCATTCACCCGATGTGAGATGTTGGCGAGTTATTTTGTCTCTCCAACCTTAAGTTTATCGCTCTGGAGGGTGTGTGTGTGCCTACAGGCTAATACACCCTTCCTGTAGGGGGTGCTAGAGTCCAAAGAAATGTCCCATATGAAGCACCTGGTAGGGGCGCGTAGATGGCTGAGTCGGTTGAACGTAGGACTTCAGCTCAGGTCATGATCTCACAGTTCATGGATTCAAGCCCCATGTTGGGCTAGACAGCTCAGAGCCTGGAGCCTTCTTCAGATTCTGTGTCTCCCTCTCTCTCTGCCCCTCCCCCGCTCGCACTCTGACTCCCTCTCTCAAAAATGAATAAACGTTAAAAAAAATTTAAAACACCTGGCCTAGCCTTCAGTCTCCCCCCGCCCCCAACTCCATATACACACCCACCTCCTCAAGGGGTAGGTCTGGGCTGGTCCTGGGTACCACAGAAGGAAGACCAGACCCACCTGGGAGATGCCTTAAGCCCACTGCCTCCCCTCACTGTGTGCAAGCATCCCTCCACAGGTGCTTTCAGAAGTTTTGGTTACCTCTCCTCCTCTCCCCGGGAAGTCAACACATCTTAACAGCCTACACTTAAAAAGCAATCTCCTTTGCTTTCCAGGTCAGGTTTTTCTCTTTGACATCACTAACAAACAGCCCAGGGGAACCATCTGCATTGGAGGTCTCCATGCCTCCCGCACCTGCCCACTCACTTTTCAGTCCTCGTCCTGGGACTCCCACTGCCATTTTTAACTGGGCACCTTCTCTCAGAAGTCACCCAAGAGTGCCCCCTTGCTGAAGCCAATTATGCTCTTTTCTCAGCCCTGGCCTTCCCTGACCCCCAACAACACCTGATCCAGCTGGTTAGCCCTCCTTTACAGAGGTGCTGCTCAGATTCACGTCTGTGTCCTGAGCGAACTATCTCCCGTATCACTAGCTCAGAGCTCATGCTAGATTCCATGGTGCATAGTCTAAGTCACCCAGCATCCTTTTGTTGAGTGTAGATATGAGGCCAAGTCTGTGCTGAGCAGTGGGCATCACAGGGAACAAAACTTCATTCATTCATTCATTCATTCATTCATGTCGAAGGCCGTCCATGTGTTCAGTGCTGGCACACAAGACAGACTTATTACCTGTCTTTGTGGATCTTACCATCCAGTGGGAAAAGCAAATATTAAATACACAGTTACAGAATCTTTTCAAATTATGATTGTGATATATGCTACAAACAAAAAAAAAGTGTTTTGTGAGATTTTATCTCAGAGGACAGGAATGAATATACAGAGATGAATAAAATGTGGCTTCTGTCTTTACAGATCTTACTGTATGTCCAGTAACCCAAACATGTGCTCTTTAGTGTCTTTTCTTCTATATCAACATATTAAAATCCAACATGGCAGTGGACAGGGTAAGGAGCAGGAAGGGATGTAAGAGTTAATTTTTTATTAAACATTGACAAGAAAACCATGTCAGGTAGGAGGCCCACGTCCCCTCCCGCCTCATTTCCCAAATTAGGAGCCTATAAAATCACCTGTCGAGGCGCCACAGCTAAGAAAGGGAAAAGAAGCAAGATTCAAAACAGTCCTCACTGACACCAAAATGGGCTTCCTCCCACTTCATGGCGTTGACCTCATCATCTGGGCTGACAGGCTCTCAGCAGCCCATCGTCAAGCTCCAATGCCACTACCCAAGTTAGATTTCCCCAACCCAACTCTGCCGTCACGTCAGACCCCTGTTCTCTCCCCCACACGTCTGATCCATCACTGAGTTTCATCTTCTAACTACCGACCTCTTGAATCTGGCCACTTCTCTCCGTCTCCTCTGCCACCACACCAGTCCGAGTTGTCTCCATCTCTCGACCTCGTAATTGGGCTGCCCATGTCCGTTCCTATTCCCCTCCGATATGCTGTCTGCACTGAAGCCTGGAAGATCCTTTTGCAAATGCAGATTTGAATGTCAATCCCAAGGTTAAAATCCCTTTTCAGTGGCTTTTTGTGGCTCTCGGAACAAAGACCAGAATCTTCAGCATGACCTCCAATGCCCTCCTGAATCTACAACCCCTTTGGTCATGGGCTCCGGCCCCCCAGGGCTTTTCAGTACTGGGAGCTTGTGCCTGTGCCATTCTCTCTGCCTGGCATCCAGTGCTCTGGAGTCTCTCCCACTCACCACCTTCCCCAGCCAACTCCTAAGCATCTCTCAGATCTCAGTGCAAAACTGCTTCCTCAGAGAAGTCCTTCCTGATTTCCTATTTATATGCCCCTCTTTATATGCTCTCCTGGAACCCGATATATTTGTCTCTTAATAGTCTTAAGGTTTATGATTCCATATTCATTTTTGTGTTTGACTTTACATTTTGTATTTATTCCATGTCTGACCCCATCACTAGATTCCAAGCTCTGTCAGGGCAGGGACTGTCTCTGGGGCTCACTGCCATATTCTCGATGTGCACCATGTTCTGTGAATAAAAGTCTTTAACAGGCTCCCAGTGCCCTCTGACTCAGCCCAAGTTCTTCAAGTGACCTTCAAGGCCTTCCATGATCTGGTTGTAGATCCCAGACTGAGCTCCCAGTGCTGCCCAACTGGGTTCCCTGTGTCCCCCGCTTTCAGTCCTGCCTCGACACTTTGTCAATAGCTTTCCCATCACGTAGAATGCCTTCCCCTCCTGTGACCCATTTAAATTCTCCTCTCCTCGATGGAATGAGATTGCACATTCTCTCCTCTGGACTTCAGTAGAACTTAGAGGAGAAAGTTTCTTATTTTGACTATTGTGTTCTGGTGGATTGTCACGAACTCTTTCGTGTGTCTGTGTCTCATCTCTTAGCAATGAATCCAGTTTACTTTCTATTTAATTTCCTGTTCAGATGTTTTGTTCTGTTGTAAAATACACTGGACTTCAAGAAATCTCTTTCCAGTTTCGTAGCCTAAGGCAGAGCTAATGTTAGTTGCTAAGGTGTTGCTAGGGAAAGTCATTTAGCCAGGGCAGATAATTAACTTTATCAGTGTGTGTGGGTAAGTCACAGAAAAGAAGAGCTGGGGGCCCTACTTATCCAAGGGAAAAAAAAATTCCTTTGATTGGTAAGAGGTGAGATCAGCCTTTTTTTTTTTTTTTTTTTTTTTTTCCCTTTAAGAGAGAAGGGGAAAAGAGTTTCTAGATTAGTGTTTTTCTGAGTATGGCCATTGAAACACAAGCATTAGATGTTTGCCTCAAAAGCAGACTCCAAAATCCCACCCCAGACCTATTACATCTGCACTCTGAACAAATTCAAATCAAAGTTTAGGAAACCACTGTCTCAAGAGCTTGTAACGCAGACTTGAAATACAAGAGTTCTAGTCCAGCTTTCCCGCATTTGGGCTGTGTGAAGGTGAGTGCTCTTGGCGTCATAGGACCCATCTAAACTGATTTCAATGTACAAAATTGAAAATAGTAATACCCATTTTGCCCTCACCCCAGGGTTTATAGAAATACATGGGTAACTGAGGTAATAATCTGTAAACCTCAAAGTGATTTACACAAACAAAAATTATTATCGTTACTCTTATTCTATTAATTTAGAACAAGAATCCAGACATGTCTTTGTTTCTCTAACTCATAGAGTTATACTCAGAAGCTTTCATGGAAAGGGATTTCTAGAAGAAGAAAGTAGATACACAATAATGGAAATTGAATCGTTCTGAATAATCTATTTGTAATCTTTCATGAGGAAAAGCTGTCTACCAGTGAGCCAGTAGGTTTTGAGACTAAGTTTTATTTATTTATTTTGAGAAAGAGAGAGAGAGTTCCAAGCAGGCTCCAAGCTCAGCGCTGACAGTTGGGAGATCATGACCTGAGCTGACATCAAAAGTCTGACGCTTAACCAACTGAGCCACCCAGGCATCCCAGGCATGTGACTCTTGATCTCAGGGTCTTAAGTTCAAGCCCCACATTGCATGTAGAGCTTACTGTGAGGAAAAAAAAAAAAAAAAAAGCAATTAATTAAAGAGATATTTATCCAGCACTTGCTGTGTTCCAGGCATTGGCCATAGCCTATGTAAGTACCCTATCTTTGGAATTCTGAAGCTGACTAGGTCCCTCCCACAACTCCACCCAAGGTATGAGCTTTCTTGTTCACTTGGTCTCTCCATTGCTTTGGTCCCCATTTAGTTCTGCCCTTCCCTGTCCACACCCCCTCCCCCCCTTCCCCCCTCGCCCCACTCAGGAGCATTTCCCTACTTATTTCTCACTGCCATGTCCAGATCAACATTCTAAGATATCCTTCAAAAGTCCCTCTTACTCTAAAGCTCACAGCATCCCATTTATACTTCTTCATCCTCCGTCGTCCTACCCCCATCATCTAGAGCCTCCAGGTCATTCCCCTACAGACACAGAAAACTCTGCCACTGGTGTATGGGCTTCCTGCCCAGCCTAACGCATGTAGTCTTGGGAGACTAGAGAGTCTGAATGTCTGGCTGATATTTAGTCATCTGTCTAACCTCTTCTGCTCTGATGAGCTTGGCTCTCTCCGTGTCAGCAGCCATCCCCGACAAAAACCTCCCTTTGGAGATCTGGATTCCCAGAAGCTCTCCATCATCCCACTTTTAGCTTTCCCATGTCCTCACCCCCATGACCCCTCTGTGTCATTAAGGGATACTATTGCTTACTCACTTCTGATTTTCCCAGCCCATCTTGTTGTCAATTCCTTTCCCACCCAGTCTGGACACCATGCTTAACCATTTTAACCACATCCTCACCAATACTCTTCATTGGGTCATCTCTTTTACTTCTCTGCCTCCTCTCCAACTAACCCCCAAGCCCAGATCAACTAAGCAGAATTGTGGAGCTATCTCAGACTTCTGAGTTCTGCTGCCCCACCAATTGCCTTACCACAGACTCATGAATTCTGTTCTTAACCACGGTTTTTGAATGGATTCCTAATCAGTTTCCTCTTCCATTCTTCACAGCCCCTTATCTCTTTCTTCTAGTCCTTACCACCTTTACAAGCCTGCTGAATCACCCTGGTTACTCTCACTCTTTGCAGGGGTGAAATGGCAACCTGGTCTCTTATTTCACCCCCCAGAGAGAAGACATAACTTCCTCAGATCTCTGTCTCCTCTACTGTCAAACGAAATCGGCAAAACCCTAATTCACTTCTTGCCTCCAAGAAGGAAGCGTTTCGCTCTTTGATTCTTCAGAGGCTAATTCCCCACCTGAGTTCTTGTGCTCATTCCCTCCTGCCTTCTGCTGAGCACTAATCTGGCCATGAACCGCCCTGCCTTTCGTGCTTCAGTCTCCCTTCCTGTTCACATCCTCAGCCTGTAGGCGACGGTGAATCTCCCCCATCCTGGGCTGGGCCCGGGAACGGGGGTGGGCGAGAGGTGCCCTGACAATGGACATTTCACTGATCTTCTCTCCCTCTCCAGCTGTTTTCTTAACTCTGTGCTTCCGAGCCGTATTTGTTGAAAGAGTTGCCCTCCCTTGCTGTATCACTGCTCCCTCAGTTTGTACTCATTTTTACATGCAATGCAGTTTGGGATCAGCTCATATCTCTTTACTGACTGGTCCATCAGAGGTCACCTAAGACCTCCTACTTGCCATAGCCGTTGTCTGAATTAAAATAGACAAAAGCCATCAGTAAGAGCCCTGTCATTGTACAGCTGGTTGGGAACTCACCAGTAAAAGGAGCTAAAGAGAACTGCACAGTGGAAGTAGGTCTAAGGTGTAGGCCTAAGGTGTAGACCTGGTCCCAACAAGAGACCTCTCAGCCTTCCTGCTTTGGATTTATGGATGAGAGAGAGCCTCATGTCTGAATGCAGGATGGCATGCAAGGTGCAGCTGTGGACAGCGCTCAAGAACAAGCCCTTGCAAGTCCAGCCATGCATGGAACCCAGACTCCGCCCACATTCCCGGGTGGCTTTCTTGCTATTAATCCAGCAACCAGGACCAAGCAAAGCCACCTTTTTGAAGTTTTGGAACTTCATAGCTTAGACCACATGACCATGGCACACTACTGCCACCTGGTGATAGGGAGTAGAATATGCAGCGATACAAAATCGGGAACTCTCAAGGCACTCGGAAGGTCACCTCCATGGGCCTATTTTAGAGTAGACTGTTTGCTCTCTGATAATAGAGTCTTCGGGTTTTCCACTGTGTTTAGAATAACGTGTCTGCATGAAGTAGATATTTGGTGAAGTTTTGTGAAATTTAATCCTTTCATTCAACAAACATTTATTGATTAACTAGGAGGCAGGTAGTACAAACATAAAAGATAATTCCTGATTTCAAGAAGCTGTGGAAACAGGCAAAGCAGGTATTTGTAAAACAAGGAATCGCACACACTAACTATTAATGAAAGCACAGAGAAGGGAGTGACTAATTCTTATTGGGGTGAGGGCCCAGGAAAATGTTCTAGGCAGAGGGAAGAGCCAATGCAAAGGAAGAGATGTGTGAAAAAGCAGGATGTGTCCTTGGGATAATAAAGTGATCTTTTCAGTGGCACTGTATGCAGATAGATTGTCAGTGAGAGTCTGGGCAAGGGCATATGCTAAGAGGCTTTAACAACAGTCCATAGGAGGACCAGGGGCTGAGGCTGGAGAAAGGATGACAAGGGAGGGCTGTTTAGGGTAAAGAGGACAGAGTGCATAGTGATGTGTAGGAGGGGAGAAAGGAGTCAGATGACTCTGAGGGTTCTCACCTGAGCCACGGGGTGGGAGATGTCATGGTGGTAACTGAGAGAATGAATTCAAGAAAAGAAGCCACCGTATGTGGGAATAGGGGGATGATATGAGAATATATATCTATTCAATTGTGGTTATGTCCCACTTAAGGGGTCTTTCAACAGTCTGTCTTGACAGTGGACTGCCCAAGGCAAGAGGTAGCCAGCTCAGAAGCCAGATGGGAGCTGGGGGACAGAGACCCAGAGGATGGTAAGATCCTGTGCCCCAACCCTCCCTTTAAGACACCCTCAAAACTTAGCTCTCCTCTGTTGCTTCCTCTCTGCTTTGTGCTCTGATTTCCAAACCAAAAGACCAGTTTGATCAATGTGCCATTGCTAGAATGCTAATGGAAAAAAGAATAATCTTCTGTGTCCCCTACCTGGCTCACCAGGTGACATATGTGGTTGTCATGGTGGCATCCTAGAGTGAGCCAAAGAAGTAGGACGTTAGACTGTGTAACCTGGAACGTATCTGTGGTCTTGGGGGGCTGCCAGGGCTTGTTGGTTGATGGCTCCTCTGCTCACACCCAACTAGAACTGGAAGGAGGCACTGAGAGAGGGAAAAAAAGAAGAAAATGGACCCACATCCTTTTCAGCTTGAGGCCATGAAGAAATGGAGGGAAAGAGACAGAGTAAAAAGAAGAGGAGGTCAAAGGAGAACACAGAAATGGCCAGAGGGGCACGTGAGTGGCTCAGTCGGTTAAGTGTCTGACTCTTGATTTCAGCTCAGGTCATGATCTCATGGTTTGTGATTTCAAGCCCCACCTCAGGTTCCATGCTGATGGCGTGGAGCCTGCTTAGGATTCTCTCTCTCCCTCCCTTCCTCCCTCTCCGCCCCTTCCCCACTTGTGATCTCTCTTTCTCTCTCTCAAAAATAAATAAACTTAAAAAAAAAAAATGGCCAGAAAGTGTATTTAGTACAAAAGAATACATAGGAGAAACAAAGAAAGGACAGAGGAAAAGACGCTTCTCTCTTCCTATTACCATAATGAAGTGTCCATGTGCTACAGATAAAAAAAGCCATTCTTTGCCTTCTAATTAACTGTGGCCCAAGTTTTGCACCTCTCTCAATCTGGAAAATATAATTGCTGAAGCGTCAGATTTATGGATTGGATTGTGACTTAAATAAGCGGCATCCAACTGTTACTTCAAACACACCCCCAAAGAGCTAGGACCTGGAAAAAAGAAAAGTCTCTAAGAACACACTTCAGCCCCAAACTCATTTCTTTTGGAAAACTGGAAGCAAATTTATTGGTCTGGGTGTTAAGAGAAAGAATCAAACACATTTTATTTGTGCATTCCTTAAACAGTGACGAAATTAACAATACTGGGGGCTTTATTGTGTCTCCAAAGGATGGGAGGGCGTGCCTCCTGTCTACAAAGGGCTTGCAATAACCAGAGCGGACAGCCCTAGCCTGCTTCTCTGAGTGCGGCAGCGGTGGTCTAAGCGCTTCCCAGAAGTAGACTCATCTAATCCTCACAACAACCTGGGTAGTTTCATTGCTCCATTTTGCAGATGAACAACGCGAGGCATAGGGAGGTTAGGTGACTGGCTTGCCCAAGGTCACAGAATATTTGAAAGCCCATGCAGATCTATAAGAGACATTTCAGTGCCAGTTAAAGACCAAGACAAACGGTCTCTGTGTTTCGTGCAGAGTCCCCAGAGGGAGAAATCCCCACAGGCTGCCGTGGTCCAAAGGTTTCAGGGAAGCAGTAGGGCCTGATGGAGGGGTCGGATTTGGAGAGATGTGGGAGAAAGGCACCCTGAGTAACACTGACTGCGGGGGCTTGGACAAGTGGCGGGACAGTGAGGGGCCACTCGGTCTGGAACAAAAGGCCAGTGGCAGGAAATCACTGGGACGCTGTCCTGATGGCAACAGAGCTGTGATGAACCTGCGGTATTGGAGTTCCTCTTGAGAAGATTTAAATGTGAAATGAGCTTTTGTTCTCGGCCCAGTGCATTTTAATGCTGTGATACAGGAGCCAGAACTCAGAGAGCGTTCATTCATCAGGCTCCATTAACTCATTAAACTTACATTTCACTTTTGTCTCTGTTCCTTCGTACTCCTTAACAAGTCCTGGCATCTCAGATGCTGACCTTTTAGAAAGATTCTTATGCAGATTGTCAGTCCCCTTCCTTATCCTTGAAAACACGGCTCCAATGGCACCTCCGTGAAGCCTTCAGTGATGCCCTGGGCAGTGTTGTCACTCTCCTGTGCACCAGGCTCCTTGTGCATAACCGTTGCAGCATTTACCACCTGGGAGCACCATCTAGGTTATACACCTTGTTATCTCTCACAAGACCCCTTAAACGGGGTCCTTAAACGGTGGAACTGTTTACCTGGCATCCCTAGTGGTTTGCACAGAGTAGATACTCAGTAAATGCCGAAGGAAGGAAGGAAGGAAGGAGTCTCCATCATTATATTGGAGGAATCCAGAAGATTATCTGACTCAAATCTTTATCTTTTTTTATGAACTCTGTAAAACCAAAGTAGCTTCCTGGAACTCCACTGCATTTATAGTAGCCTGTTTATTTATTGCCTTCATAACACCCATCACAACCTATAATTATTTGATCTGCTTGTATCCTCTCTTAGGATAGCGCAAACCTCGTAAGTGCAGGTGCACCTGTCTTGTTCACTGTCTTGTTCACTGTCACGTAGTGCATGGCATGATGTAAATGCTCTACAGATATTTGTTGAGTAAAAGAACAAATATTACATCTCCGGTTAACTGTTCAGATTCTTTTTGGATTTCCCAAGTGAAGGGAGGAGGATAATATAAACATAAAATATAATTTCTGCCTTCAAGAAGCTGTAAAGACAGACAAAGCAGATATTTGCAAAACAAAGAATCATATATACTAACTAGTAATGAGAGCAATTCTGATTGGGGTGACTTTCTTTTAGATGACTCTAATTATTAGGCAAAGAATTCTTTCTGTTGAAATAAAAACTACCTTGCTAGAATCCTTACAGAATATGCCTAACACTGTGCCAAGAAACAGATTGTGGTTTTAAAAATATATGTCCCCGATTCTTTGAGAATCCTTCCTTCAAAAGGTAGAGCTTAATCCTCCTTCCCTCGAGTGTGAGCTAGATTTAATGAGTCACTTCTAATGACTAGAATAATACAGAAGTTATGGAGTGTGGCTTCAGAAACAGTCATGAAAGGCACTCTGACTTCTTCCTTGCTTTCTTAGATAGCTCACTCTGGGGGATGTTATCTGCCTTGCTGTGAGGACATTCATGCAACCCTATGGAGAGACACACGTAACAGGAACTGAGACCCCCACCCTGTGAATAAGCCGTCTTAGAAACGGATTCTCCAACCTCAGTCAAACCTTCGGGCAACTGCAGTCTCTATGGACATTCTATCTGCAACCTCATGAGGGACTTCAAACTAGAGCCACCCAGATAAGCCACTTCTGAATTTCTGACCTACAGAACAATAAAATAAATATTATTCTAAGCAACTAAGTTTTGGTGTAATTTGTTACACAGCAACAGATAACTAATACGTAACTCCATAAGTGTTTGTTGAGAATTACCATGTTGCACTATTTTCTTCTCCTTTCCAGTTTAGACATGGTTTCTGGATCCTCATCATCACCTTCTCTCAAAGGCATGTGGCACCTTGTCACCATCCCTGAAAAAGGCTGGCACCAAGAACTGAATGCAGAATTTAAGGTATGGCTGTGTTACCCCAAAGGAGAGAGGCTAGATCTCCCCCATCTAAACATGGTCACATCACGCTATCAAGTGCCATTGACTTACTGTTTCACTTTATTGTTAAATTTTTCAAACATGCATAAAAGTTGAAAAGTTGTATAGTTAACATGTATCCACTATCTAGATTCCATAACAAATATTTGACCACACTTGCTTTATCACAAATCCATCTATCCATCCATCGTTCCTTTTGTCCTTCTTATTTGTTTGATGCATTTCAAACATGTTGAAGACATCCATGTTGACGTTTCAGCCAATCCAAATCTCCAAATCCTTTACTTACTTGCTGCCTCCCCCTACCTATTCGTTCCCTATCCTCTGTTTGGTCCTGAAAAACAGGACTGCTTACATTTACTAGCATAGAAAAGCAGAATGGCACAGGGGAAATAGAAAAGGTTTTGAAGGTGGATAGACCTGGGTAGAAATCTAGTTCATTTATGTCCAGCTATGTGATATTAAGCAAATGACTCAAACTCTTGGAGTCTGGTTGTATTCATCTGTAAAATGAGGATGAGAAAAAGACCTACATGCAGGATTTAGAGGACAAGAGATTACACATGACAAGCATTTAGCATAGTATCTGGCATGTAGGAGGTGTTCAAGTGAATGATAGCTAATATTATTTGGTCCACCATTTCTGCCCATCTAGTTAATTTTGGATTCTGAATCCGTCCTTCCAGATTTACTTCAAGTCTATAAGTTCTGCAAGATATGCATCCCAGAAATGGACATAGAATGTGACTGGGGCGAGTCCTGAATCTTCTGTCAGTTATATATATTGTTATTGTTCTTAAGTCTGATATTAATTAAAATAATACAATGTGGCACTAATAGTTATTGCTTATAGAACCGACATTAACTATTCATCACCAGTCTTTTGAGTCTTTTAATCAGTTATAAATCTACCTTTCTCTATTGTCACATCATTTGTATTTCTCCATCTTATCTGTAAGGACATTACAAGTGACTTTGTTAAATGCCTTGCTGATGATAAATGCACTTACTGCATGTATCATATTTCCTTCTTCTACCAGCCTTGTAACATTTTAATTGAAGAAAAGTAGGTTAATTTGCTTGTTACTATCCTTTGCAAATTGATGGCAGTTCCTAGCGATCAATTCTTCCTTCTTTCCTTCCTTCCTTCCTTCCTTTCCTTTCTTCTTTCTTTCTTTCTTTCTTTCTTTCTACATACTTAAACCTGTTTCTCAGAAAATCTGTTGTTGGAAAGATTGCTAGGCGTGTAACCAGCACGAATTATTGCCTTTTCTACTAACAAGTCCCTGGTCTTGCTGGGGAAGGGGGGCAATGTGCCCAGCTAAAAACAACTATATTCTCCACTTGTTTCAGAAATCATTGACCATCTGGCACATTCTGACCAATGGGATATAGGTGGAAGTTGCTGGGTAGAGCTCTGGGGGAAGCTCCTTAAAGAGCAGGGTGGGGAAGGAGGGGTAGAGGCAACTTGTTCTCGTCTTTCCCTCTTTTCTCTGCCTGGCACACAGAAACTTGTGCTGGTGATGGAGAAGCCTTTTTGGTAACATGGGGTAACAATGAAGCGAAGGTCAAGAGAATCTCTGAGAACTGAGTTCTGACATCCTTGAGCAGCTAAACCAATGCCTGCCTTAGGGCTGTTCATAGAATGAGAAAAGTAACTCTCTAAATTGGTTAAGCTACTTTTTGGGGATTTCAACTATTAACAGACACCCATGATTCCGAAGTGATACATCTGTCCTAGAATCCTGACCATCACTGCTCTGTCATTTGAAGACTCCATCTTCTTCTGTGATATAGAATAAAGAAGATATTTGACAATTTTCTGATTTCTAGCACCACTGACTTCCCCACAATTCCAAGGTCTACATGCCAGTGATCTTGTTGGCAACTCATCTTCATGATGACCTGGGTAATTTGTTTAGTCCGCGAGATTTCACCTCATGTGGAGCCGCTATCATTCCAGTCACTTTTCTTGGACTTCGGGTCTCCCATGCCAGCACAGGTTTCACCCTCTTCAGTCCAACAAGCACTGTCACTGACAAAGATGAAAGCCAAGGAGAAGAGCCACTCTGATTTCTATCGTCCTCTACTTTTACAGCCCCTCCTCCCGCCACAAATGCTGGGCCCTGCACGTATTATTCTTTCAGACAGGAGAAGAAAGTCTGCTTTGTTGATCTTGACATTTCTTGCATGTCTCGGCTCAGGTTAGTCTCCAACCTGCATTACTCAACTCCCAATATATGTTTGCAGATTGAATGAATGTGTCTAAGATATGAAAAAACTAATGAATTCAATCAACCATGGAAATACGACAAGGAATTCTCAGTTGCTCAGAGAGTGCAGCCATGGTTTGGGGTTTCGCTTCTGCTGCTCGGACAGTGTGGGCCGACTGCACTACACGACGATATGTGTGTAGTGAGATTCACTATTCAAAAATACTGGGAGCCTACTTTCCAGAACATACTTGGAAAACAAGTTACAAAAGAAAGAAGTGCATGAATTTATTATTTTGGGGGCCAGCCCTCTCTCTGCTGGGTTAAATCCAAGTTCCTTCTCTGCTTTTGCCTTCTAACTAGTTTTTGTTTGTTTGTTTGTTTAGGAACAGAGGGTGATTCTATCAAACCTAATCAGAAATACGCTAAATGATCTAGTAAGTGTTGTCTACTTTAAAAATCTGCATTGTCTCTAATTTCAGAAAGTACTTGCATTAAGCAGGGCTATTTTTGTCGTGTGAAACAGAGGAGGATTGGCAAACTTTTTTAGATAATAAATATTTCAGGCTTCACAAGTCATATGATCCCTGTAGCAACTACTCAACTCTGTTATTGTAGTGTGAAAGCAGCGACCAACAATAGGTTAGCAAATGAGTGTGGCTGTGTTCCAATAAAACTTTATTAATGGACACTGAAATGTGAATTTTATATAATTGTTGTTGTTTATGAAATACTATTCTTCTTTTGACTTTTTTCAGCCATTTCGAAATGCAAAAACCATTTGTAGCTTCAGACAGAAGACTGGGTTTGATCCATAGGTCATAGGTTGTTGATTCCTGAAACAGAGATACCCTTGGGGCTGGTTTAAAAAAAAAAAAAGAGGATTCCTTTTTATAGAGCTATAGGAAGAACTTATGGGAACTGGAAAATGAAAATAGAAAGCTGTCAGGACTTCAGCCTACTCTATACCAGACATGGTCTCCTGCGTGGCTTTTCTGCATCATTCAGCATTTCAACTCACTCTGCAGGTCCGACCGGGTACCCCGTTCCACTCAGAACCTACACATATAAATCAATGGACAATTGAATATGACAGGATGAATGCAATGAAATTGGCATGTACAAGGTGCTATGGGAAAGTATAGCAAGTTAGTAGCTCAAAAATAAGGACCACATTAGAGAAGAACATTGGCAGTCAGGGGGTTGAGGAAAGTGTATAAGGTTTGGAATGGTCAGTGTGGAGAATGAGATAGGAATCAGACAGAAGAAACAAGGAAATCTCCTAGGTATTACTGAAGGCTGAAGTGATGCTTAGAATTTTAGCCTTTGCTAGGTGCATTAATTTGGTTGCCTGTGGCAACAAGTAATAGAAAAGCTTTTCAAAATGGTTTAAGCACTAAGTTCACCAGAATGCAGGTGTCATAAATGCAGGAAATCTGCCTATCTTGTTCGCTGATCTGGCTCCAGTTTCTAGGAAACTAGCTGGTGCACGGTGGGCATCCAGTAAATATGTTTTGAATGAAGAAATGAATGATCACTCATAGCAGTGAGTGAGTTCTAGGCGTGGTTAACTCAGTGGCTCATTGGCATATCCAGGATTCAGGTTCAGTCTATCTTTTGGTGAGTAGGCTTTGTCTTCAGCCTAGTTTTTCATGGTTGCAAGGTGGCTGCTATACTTCTGGTCATTATAACCAGACTGAAACATTTCCAACAGAAACAAAAGGAGTTATCTACTCCCTGAGTCCGTTTTCAAGAGTGAGAAAACCTCTTTCAAAAGCATCAGCAAATTCCCCCTCGGTTCTGTTGGCCAGAAATATATCACATACCAATGTCTAACTTAATCAATGGCAGGGATAGTGGGGCCACTATGATCAGCTTAGACCACTGTTCCCCATTGGGGTGACTTTGCCCCCCCCCACACACACAGCAGGCAATGTCTTGAGACATATTTGGCTGTCTCGATGGGGGAAGGGAGCACCAATGGCACTCCTGTTGGTAGAAGCCAAGAACACTGCAAAGCCATCTTAGGATGCACAGGACAGCCTCTACCGCAAGAAAGAAGCATCTCATTCAAAATATCACTAGTGCTGAGGTTGAGAAACCCTGGCTTAGACCAGTCCAAATCTTCCCCTGGAGCTGGGGCAGGGGCTACTTTCCTTGAAGCACATGGCTGGGGAGGAGCATGAATATCTGTATGAAATCAGGGTTCTAACAGGCAGGAGGAAACGAAAAGGAGGTAGCAGTGAGGGAGAGATGGGTGCTGGGGAGGCAATCAACTGAGTGTACATCAGAGAGGTTGATTGGATATTTGGATTTTTCATGTTAGCAGAGGACCCAAGGAGCTTTGGAAAGATAGATTTCTTTCTTTCTTTTTCTTTTTTTTTTCCCTTTCTTTTTCTTTAGAAATGCAGAACAAAGAGTTTACATCTTCTCTAAACATAATAAAGAGCTCCTGCCTTTTGGACCCAAATAAAAATGATAATCTGTTGGCCATTCACCACTCCAATAAATACACATGTAGAAATACTAAAAGGAATTGATGTTCATTGACTGCCTACTGTGAGTGCCGGTGCCAGGAGGACACAAGATGTGCAGAGGCTGAGCCAGGAGACCTATCACTCCACAACTGTCGTCTTCACAACTACACAGCAAGGCATGGATTATCTGTGTTTTACAGACGAGGGGGCTCAGGCCCAAGGTGATCCCCCGTCAGTCGGAGAGCTAGGACTCTCCATCACATTCTGCCTAGGAAACCCCTTCTTTTAGTTTAGGATAAGGAAGAGGCAGCATTTCCAGAAGGAGAATAGTTAGAGAGATACCATGTGCTAACTCATGGTGTCTGGATGCCTCAGAGGCTACGGCATGTTCCAAGGGCAAACAGGCTGGGTTAGAGCTGCTCTGGAGAAAGGGCCTCTTGACAGAGATCTGCTTCCTTTTTATGGTTTACAAAGCCCTGGAGAATCTCTCAATCTGAAACCCTGTGAATTCAGTGAATTCAGAGACTTTTCCTCCCCTCCCTTCGCAGCACATATTTGGCTTTTATAGCACTCAGCTCTCTGAGTCTGATGGGAAAAAAAAAAGTCAGGAGTGATAGAAAAGACAGCCAGAAGTTTTTAAAAGTATTCTTGGAAGACAGTATTGGGTCACTGGAGAGTCTTCACCTATTTGCTGTTGAGAATCTTCCCTGAGAAGCCCCCTCTTGCCGCCTGGCATTAGGATTCAGCCTGGGTCTCCTGGCATGCGTGCTGGGGCGAGAAGGGGGCCAGTCTCAGCTGTCCAAATAGAGGGAAAATGAATGCTTTTGTCTCGTGTGAGACCACCGAGCTCCATGGTGATTTTTAACTCTCACTCAGGGCTCTCTGCCTCCCTCCTTCTCTCCTCTAACTCTTCTGTTTGTTTGCTGGGGGAGAAAGGGCCTGTGGTAGGTAGGCTGCAGGGCTGGGTCTGGGTCTTCCAGAGAACAAGAAAGGAAAAAGGCCTTAGCTGTTATGCACGTTGGGTCCCATACAGGCATATGGTTCTGCCCTCACGGTACATGTTACTATGTATTGTAAGAGTTACAGGTACATTATTAGAACACAAATTGGACTCAGTGGAAAACCAGAAGCTTTATCACAACTTTTCTGGCCTGAGTTATCTCACCTATAATAAATCTCACTTCACAGAGCCAGTGTGGGAAATCAGATGAAAGCTAGGCTCCTGGTTCAAAGCGTGCAGTTAAGTCACTTCTTTGGCTAATCAATTTTGTACTGAGTTATCCTGAATGGAGCTCAGTTTCACGTGTCTCACTGGGGTGTTACCCCTGAGTGCTCTTACATTGGTGATTTTTCGTTGTATAACAAAACCGCCACACAATACACCAATCTAGATCGACCATCATTTTAATTACTCGTGATTCTATGGGTCAGCAGATTAGTAATGATGACTACTGCAGCTAAAGTCATTTGGTGGCAATGTTCTGTGACCGGATGATCTGAAATGGCTTCCTTCACATGTTGGTGCTGGCTGTTGGCTGGGCAACGTATCTCCAGAAGGCTAGCCTGGCCTCTTCGCCTGGTAGATGGGACCCCAACGCAGCAAGAGGTATGGCGAGCAGCCATGTGCAAGCTCAAGCCTCAGTTTGTCTCATGTTCACTAACATTCCATCAGTGTAAGCAGGTTACAAAGAGGCAATTGGGGAGGGCATAAAATGGGGTGGGGGTAAGGGAAGCATAATTCCCTGGGGCCATTTCTGTCAGGATCTACTAGTCGCCTCTTGGAAAGCTATTCTTTGTTTCTCACTGGATCTCCCAGAAGTAGGCTAGTTGTTCAATGGTTGTAAATCTGTTGCAAAACTCAGTTTGATTAAGCTCAGTACAAATTTTATTGAAAGCGCGGGGGGGGGGGGGGGGCCGTCGTGCTGCGTGGTAGAAATTTAAATTTAATTTTTAGTTGCTTCCCTTCTTCTACTTTCTGGAAGTCCAATCCAAGTTCCAGGGTTGGGGAAACATTATCCGCCCTAGGTTGTCATCTATTCCTGACATCTGTGCAATGCTCTGGCCCTTCTATCAAGGGTCCACAGAGTCCCCTTGAAGTCTGGCTACTTCTCAGCTACTTTGCTGCCCTCTGTGGTACACACAGTTATTGTACTGTTATGCTCCACTAAGCTGTGGGAATCTCCATGGGGCTGCTGAAGGTTCTCTCCATTCACTATGTAGTTATTTCTTTTCGGAGGTCTTGCTGTCTTTTGGGTGCCACACAGGAAGCAACACAAGGGTCTTTCATCTTTCCATATTCTCCAGCTTTTCTGGAGCATCTGTCCTGAACTCAGCCTGATAGAAGGACCAACAAGCCTCTTCTTCAGAGATTCCCAATGTTGATGCACTTATCCCTTCCCTGGTGGCTCCCTCACCCCAGAGACTCTTCGAGTTTGGAAGTAAGTATAGCCTGGCTTTTACTCACCTGGTTGTTTCCTAATCTACTATTCAAGCCCAGAGGTCTCTGTTGCCCCTGAGGACTGGCTTTCTGAAAACCTAGAGCAGAAAAGCTTCTGTTCTCTCCCTTTCTGGGGATCATTCCACTCCCGAGGCAAGGAACTAAGAAAGCTTTAATTTGAACAGGGGAAGGTCCACTTTTGGGAATGGAAGGAGGGGATGTGCTCATATTTCAGAAAATCATCCCAGTACATTTGCTTCTTTTTTCCATCATGAAAGGATTTCAATCTAAAATGGAACTGGAGGATAGAAACTGGAGGATCTCACAAATGGTCCCTCAGAAGACTAGGACGTAAGAACTGAGAGACTGATTTATTTCTCTTCAATACCTGGTTTACAGAAGGCAAAGATTGATCTCCTGACCAATGAACATCCACCAAGAACCCTTCTCCATCCTCAAGCCAATGAACTTACTGCTTGGACTCTGGGGGGGACTTCCCCCTCCTTGGACTCCTGGCCCATAAATGCAGCCTGCCCCAAACTTTCAGCGGACCTGCCTACAGCTTGCATTTCCTGAATTGCAATTCCTCTGGCTCTTCCTGAATACGCTCAATGTCTTCTCATTTGAGCGTGCCTCATGTTACATCCTTATTTAGGTTGACATCAACTAC